GCACCATTAAAGGTATGGAAGATGGGGCACCTGGGTGGCTCAGTCGGTTGAGTGCCTGACTCTTGGTTTCGGCTCAGGTCGTGATCTCGTAGTTAGTGAGTTGGAGCCCCATGTCAGGCTCTGCACTAACAACGCAGAGCCTGTTTGGCATTCTCTCTCTCTCCCTCTTTCTCTGTACCTCCAGCTCTGTCTCTGTCTCTCAAAATAAATAAATAAACTTTAAAAACTAAATAAAAATGTATGGAAGAGGATTTGAAGTGATATGCTGAATTAGTATTGAATAACAAATATACACTGAGAAAGCTTCTTTATCCAAGGCTCTTTTGATCCTTCTGATGAGGAGAAAGTCTCATTTTTGTATTGGTGTTTAACACCTCTCTACCATTGCCCATTTTCCTTTTTAACTGAGGGAAGTCAACCTTATTTTTTTTTTATTTTCTTTTATGTTTTTATTTTATTTTTGAGAGAGAGACACAATGTGAGCGTGGAGAGGCAGAGAGAGAGGGAGACAGAATCTGAAGCAGGCTCCAGGCTCCAAGCTGTCAGCACAGAACCCTACACAGGGCTCAAACTCACTGTGAGATCATGACCTGAGCTGAACTCAGGAGCCCAACCAACTGAGCCACCCAGGTGCCCCGAGAGCAGTCAACCTTAAGCCTTGAGCCTTGATACCCAGCTTCTAACTAGAATTTAATAGTATTATTTTATTTTTGTTGTGATGATTTTCATTTATGGCAATGATACTGATTTTCCATTTATAATTTTCTATTGAAGTAAAACTGTGATCCTGATTTAAAAGAAAATATTGAGTAGGGGCGCCTGGGTGGCTCAGTTGGTTGAGCGTCTGACTCTTGATTTCGGCTCAGGTCATGATTCCAGAGTCATGGGATCGAGCTCTGCATCGGGCTCCACACTGAGCATAGAGCCTGCTTAAGATTCTCTCTCTCTCTCCCTCTGCTCCTCTCCCCTTCTTATGCGTTCTCTCTCTCTAAAAAAAATAATAAAATAAAATAAAATAAAATAAAATAAAGTAAAGTAAAATATTGAGTAAATTGTATAAATGGTAGTATATGGATATGGAAAAATAATCCACTAAGGTGGTGCTTGAATGACCAGCTCTGGGAAAATACTGTGTTGGTATCTATTATAACAGTTGTCTATCATAACCTTCCTTTCTCCTGGGCCACAAAAGACAGTCAAGGGCTGGGATGATAAGCCTCCTGAACCTCCATTCCCCATTGCATTCCAGGTAACTCAAACTCTTCCTTAGTGCTATGGCATATTTGGCTTCTAAATTTCAGAATGTTGTTTCTAATGGTTCTGTCTCTGAACTGCTAGGGTCTGGACTTTTATTCCTCTCCACTTGCCTCACCCTTCAGGACTCTGCTCCATCCTAGTTGTCTGCTGCTTCCAAATTAAGAAAGACTTTTTTCCCTCCTCTGCAAGTGGTTATGGCTCTTTTGGTTAATCTTTGATGGGCTTGTGCAATCATATTTTGATTTTTCCAAAGGCATCTTTACACTATCATCTTACCACTTCCTTTTCAAGTTGTTTGGGACAAATTTCCACAAGGAGCGGGGAAGAGGACACTTGAGTAATGCTACCCTCTATGATATGCAAAGTATTCCTTCACACCAAGCCTCACCCAGCATCAGAGGATGATGTTCACCCACATCAGAGTGAGTTTCCTGCCTTCTTGGCATCTACCATTCTCTTCTTCTCTGGGATGGGATATTTCAGTACCTGACCATCAGTCTCCAGATGTAGCTTACCCAGGGGGTCTTGGGGATCCTCAGACAAATAGGGCTCCTGATGCCTGCCCTAATACCCCAAAGTTCCCAGTTGGATATGGCTTAGGTCCACAATGGAACACTAGGTAACTTTATAAAAGAATAATGAAAAGCATTGTTGCAAAAAAAAAAAAAAAAAAAAAAAAAAAAAAAAAAAAAAAAAAAAAAAAAAGTCAACCATTATTTCTAAATGGCAATAATTATAAATTGAGTTCTGATGTTTAAAAACACAATTTCATTTCTGTAGCAAGCTTCAATGGAAATGAGCACAGTTTATATGTCCATATTAACTTGAAGCAAGTGAGAAAATGTATTTTGAATACCTACTTGGCTAATATGCACTGGCTGCTAGCTACCAGCTACTAGCAAGGAATGTTAATTTACAAATATTTCAAATACTCTACCCCCTGGGGAAAGAAAATCAGTCTAAGTTCTTTTAGTAGAAAGCTCCAGGTAACTAACTTTTAATTTTCTACACCATCTCTGATTTGATGTTCTGATCATATTACAGAGAGCAACTTAAACAAAGACCACATTTTTTACTGCCTTGTTTTCACAGCAGTTGATCCACACACCTATCTCTATGGTGACTTTTGTACTGTCCTCTCTGAGATTTAAGTCCACAATGAGACCATTAACCATATGTGAGAGGTAAGAAGGATTATACACATGATTAGAGTAAATAGTAACCATGAATTCACTCACCCACAACTGTTGGCTTAAGCTTTACTTTGGGGATGGAGACTCTCATTAAATCTTGTTTTCAGTACAGCGAACTGTCACTTACACTGACCTATCATGGAAAAATAAGAAGTTCCTGAAATTATATTTTAAAAGACAATAATATTTCAAAGTTTATAGCTAGCTATCGTCTCACATTTTCAGCAAATTTTACTGTGTACTGTGTGATGCATGGTAAAATGTATCATGACCCCTAAGGCATCTTCGTATTTGTAATCTTCTGTGCATGTGAAAGACAGTGATATTTTGCTAGTATCTGGGCATAAAATGATATTACATATAATAAAAATAAAGAGATAATAAAACTATTTAAGAGTGTGAGTTTTATGGGCTATGTGGTAGCGAGATGACAGAAGGAGGGGGAATACAGTATGTTCACAAATATTTATAATAAAAATTGAAGGGTGCTCAAGTACAAGTATATCTATCTATTCATTAATTTCTTGAGGGTTAAGGTCCCTGATCATTTCCACACATTCATTTTTACTTCCAGGGCCAAACATAATGCCAGATACATGGTAATGACTTAATATATATTTGTTACTTGACATTCTGGGAATAATGGAAATGAGACGACTAGCAGATGAAGGGGTCAGAGATAGAGGCTTATAGCAAAGACTGCTAATTGTTCCCCAGTATCCATTCTTCTTCCATAGCAACGGTTCCCTTGATTTCTAGTTGGACACAAATGCAAACCCCCTCTGCTGCTAGGTATACCATGTGACTAAGTTCTGGCCAATGGAATGTGAGCAAAAGTGATGTGTGTACTTTTCAGGTTATGTCCTTGAAAGGAATGGGCATGCCCTCCCTTTCCTCTTAGTTCCCCCAACCACTGCTATGGTATGCCAGGGTGGTAAGCCACACTGGACTAAGTTGAGAAGAGCAAAGCCCTTCCATGGAGCCTAAAATAGGAGTGTGGGCCCTGACAACTTTGTGGAGGACAGCCGCTGTGCCAACAGGACTTTATGTGAGAAATAAACTGGTTCCGTTGAGGCCAATGGTTAGTTTGGGTCTCTATCACAGTGGTTAAATTCATATCCTAATACAATCAGGAAGGATTTATAGAGGCAATGCTTGCACTGAGTTTCAAAGATTGAGTAGGAGCTCACCAGGTGGACTCAAAAATTAAAGTAACCATATTAAAACCCTCTGGGGAGGCTTATATTTGTTCCCAGTTCCATGCTAGAATTTGGAGGGTGGGACAAATTTGATCGTTTGTAGGTCCACTTCAGCAAAGTCTTTCTTTGCAAGCAACTCCTGGAAAGGAGGGATGCGGTTTTAAGTTGGCAAATACCTTTACCCAACTTGCCCTGGAAGACTCCGTCTAATGTGATATCCATTGTTCTAAAAAGTATGAAAATAAAGTAGGCTCGTCTTTTCCCCCCTTTTCTTCAGTAGCTCTACACTCATCTGTTTTAACATTTCCTGCGCCTCTGCCCAACGCGCCAAGGCGGGTGCTGTCAGCGACACAGAATTCTTGCTTTCAAGAAGACCGACCTGGAAGTGTCGGGAAGAGGGGGCCACTTGTGGTTTTGGGGAAGTCGAGGACCCTCGGGACGAAGCGATCCAACTGCGCAAAGGGTCTGGGGCTGGCGTCGCGGAACTCTGGAGGAAGAGCAAACTGGCTGGGTGAGAGGCGGACCCGGCCAAGTCCCGCGGGAACGGCCCTCGGCGGCGTCAGGCCACGCTCCCGGTTGCCACGGAGACGGGGTCGCGGCCGGCCGGCCGGCCGACCGCGAGAGGTGGGAGAGGCCGACCCTTGCCCGGCCTGAGCCGTGGGTCCACTCGCGCCGCGCTCCACCCAGCTCCGCCGCCGCGTCCGCGAAGGGCCACTGAGCGTGACCTGGGGAGGCCAGAAGGCGCGCGCTGCTTTCGGGAACTGGAGCGAAGCGAGCGCCGGAGGTCGGGGCCCCCCACACCCCGAACACGGTTGGTAGGAGAGGCTGCATTTAAGCCAGAACTGCCTTCCCGGGCCGCCGCCGGCGCCCGGCCGTCCCGGGCTCCCGAGGGCTCTGTTCAGACACCGGCCTTCGGTGCCCCAAGTGCAACGGCTGCCGCGTCTCCGTCCCCGAAGCCCCGGGAAACATCCGCCCTCCTGGGTAGGGGGCGCCCGTGGGGCCGCAGACGCGGCTCGTGGGGAGCGCTACCCCCAAAGGGGCCTAGGGAAAAGTCGCTTGGGAGAGGATTCCCGAAACACCTTCCCACCTCCTCTCTGAGTGTTGGGGACGTTTGGTTAGGTCTTGTACGGCCCCAAGCATGGGACGCTCGGATCCGCCAGTAGATGCCACCTCTTAGTCTTTCAGGCCACAACGAAATGGGCCACCAAGTGGGTCCCGCAGGAATAGTGATTTACCGAGATAACCTTTTATTTTCACAGAGACGATACTTAAGGTACAGGGAAAAACCATTTCCTGGAACATCTGAGTTGTAATTCGATCTTGAGTTACCGACCACAGTCAGGGGGCAAACATGCTTCGTGCCACGAGTGAACTGGAGTTTTCGAAAGAAAAAAATACGGAGGAGATCTCCCAGCTCGCTTCCCTGGTGCTGTCAGGTGACACATCAACCGGCGAAAAAAACTCAACTGGTTTACCCGAAAAAACTGGCTATCCGGACTCCGTTTACATTATGGCAGCAAATGTTTTTCAGGGTATTCGATTCGAAAAGTCGCCAGAGAAAGTCTTAATAAAGTATGGGAATGAACCCCTGCGGTCCTTGCCGGAGTCTGAGGATGAATCCTTTCAGCGTTCGTCCTATGAGCTGGCTTTCAGTGCTCTGAAGTGTGAGTAGTACCAGTCTCAACGATCGTCACTAAAATAAAATAATGAGAGAATTTGTGGAGCGCAGTCCCCTTCCCGCCCTGTGGTGCACACCAGGTTTTGTTTTCACATATTTGTGTAACTTTGGTCAGATGCATGTCAAGGAATTTGGAGAGTTCCAGTAAAACAAGCTCTTTCAGGCCAGAACTGTTTTTCACTGCAGATTCCCTGTGCCTAGGAGGGTGCCCGTCCTTAGATGGATGTAATGCACAGTCATTAAATTGAACAAGGAAGCAATTCCATTAACAGGAAGAATAAGAGTCCACTGAAGGATCCAAGTACAGTTACCCCCCCCCCCACCACCTTGGGTTATTTCTTGGCATTTTCTATGTTTACCTCTTGTATATTAGTGTATGAACTTTCACAATTATAAAAACCAGTAAGAGAGGAACAGAGATGGAGTAAGAAGCCAAGGTACAATATATTAAAAATGAATATCAAAATCAAATCAACCCGGATTAAGATGATCCCATTCATAGCCAATAGCGTAAATTTTGAGAGCTTATACATTTATTCCTCCAAACTTCTGTAGAATTCCCTGTTCTAATTTGCCTCCAGGGTTTGAGATGCAGTGTTTCAGATTAGCTCAGTGGTGGTTAACTATCCACTTCTGTGTGTGGAGCTGACTCTAGGACAGAACCAAATACTGTTAACTGTGAAAGCAAACAGTGGCAGGGTCTGGAGATCTTTGTTTTTGTACTAGCAATAAGCTTTAAAATAAGTTTAGAATCTTCTGATTCAGACACCACATTATCAATTGCTCGCCTGTCCCCTTTAAACTATAATGTTTATACTGGTTTGTAAAATGAGTGAATGTAGTTCCAAAAAGAAGTTCCAGAAATATTTGGAGTATTAACAGCATGGCTGAAATGATAAGCATATGGCTTCCTAAAGAGACACCTTGAAAGGGCAACACTAATTTGCATGCATTTCCTTAGTACTTACTGGGCCTTCCACATTCTTGCACATAGGCACTTACCAGTTGTTTAGTTGAACTAAAATGCCCCGTTCATTACTTAGACATGAATATATATTTTTGGTAGTCTGCAGATACAAGGCAGCTCAACTCTGAAGCCAGAAATTTGTCAACATAGAGAAAAATTTGATGTCAAAAGGCATCTCTTTAATTTCCATTTCTTTGTTTTCTCCTGCTTGTGGATTTTTTTCTTTTTAAATGTTTTAACCATTTTTTCTTTTCCAGTGTAATCTTTCACATTATTTCATCCATTCCTTCTATCTGCTTTGAAAAAATGTAGTTTTAGAGACCAAAATGTTACACTTTAGATAATGAGCCAAATGAACATTTTTACATTTTCTCCTTGTAACAATGAAAGGCAGACTGGGCATCTATGTTAATTAGTTGGTATTTAATGTTAATGCCAAAATTCTATTATAGACAATTTGTTTTCCTAATGGAATATTGCATCTTAGATTTAGGAATCAATACTAAAAACCTGAAATTATTTTGTATACAATTAATGCATTGACTAGATGGTTATGCTATAGTGATATGTATACTTGATTCTCTTTTTCTTCCTCTCAGTCTTTATTTCTGTTTTATGAAAGGGCTTTGTGACTATTTTATGTTTTTTAATGACCCAGAAAAATCCCATTAAGATAAAGTATTGTCATAGACCTTTACAAACCTGCCTTTGCTCGAAATGTTTGTTTTTTTTAATTCTAATTCTAATCTAAGCTGGCTTTGGTTGTTTACTTGGTACAAATATTTTTTTCTTCTTAAAATAATAATATATTGCTTAAATTATTATCTGAATAATTTCTGAATGTTCAAATAAAATCAAACCAGAATTTCTAAATGTATTAAATTTCCAAGATAATTAAGAGCCTGATAGTTTGCTTTAAGACAGTGGGGGCTCTGTGCATTTCCCTGGTAGCTTCTGTATAATCAGTGTTCTACCAGTACTTTCACATGATATCTTATAAACTCATATTTGGCTTGTACCTTATAGGTTCAGAAAAGAAAACTCAGGATTTCTTCCCTGCAGTTTTTTTATAGGAGCAGTAAAGCTAAAAATGTTAATGTATAAACTAAAGAGAGCTTGGGTAACGATCCCTTTTATTGGTGAAGTTGTGAATAGGTGGTGTGTGTGTGTGTGTGTGTGTGTGTGTGTGTGTGTGTGTGTGTAGAAGTATAAGGAGAAGGAAAAATGACAGAAAATTCCTTCATTATATAAATGTTAAGTATACTCCTTTGGCTGTGTTTTCAGTATTTCGGTTTTATTGTTTACTCTTTTGTTGATGTCCTTTGTGTATAAGCTCTTTCAAAGGAGAGAATGTATTTATATCTGATTAACCTTTTGAAGGTTTAAAGGGCTCAGTATGTTTTTTTGAGGTGAAGACAACCACGATTCCTGCTTTACTAAATAGCCCCAAAGTCAATTTTCTGTTAAAGAAGGTAATGAAGAGTAGCCGATTCCTTTTAAGTTTTATTTCTATCAAAGAAATAGAGTACTAGCAGCTAATTTGTTTTTTCAAAGAATCTCTGGATGTTTCAAGAATTCTAAATATTAAAAAAAAGAAAAGAAACTCTGGAAAATGATTTCTTAAGAAATAAACTAATGAACCACAAATAAAGAAAACAGAAAACTTGAAGAAAAAGATGTCCCTGAAATTGTTGGTATTATTCCTGGCTTAATTTGTTCTCTAACCTAAGTATATATAGTAGTTGGTGAACTTTCAGTCTCAGGAACTAACTGTGGCATTAGCCTGGCCATTTCAGAATCTTCTAACCTGTTAGTGAAAAACCTAGTAAATGCTTAATGTATGGTTTTATTATGACTTTGGTAATTAGTAATTGTAGGTGGGGTATGCAAGACCACCATCAGGGTCGGTGATTCACTGGAAGGACTTACAGAACTTATCACATCCGTTATGCTCATAGTTATAGTTTATTATAGTGAAAGGTTACTTAAAGTCAACACCAGAAAAAAGTGCATTGGACAGAGTCCAGGAGAGACCTGGTGCAAGTTTTCTACCGTTCTTTCCCAGTGGAGTCTGTGGACAATGCTTAATTCTCTTAGCAATGGTAGGACAACAGGAATGAAGTATTGTAGTATGTGAATGTAGTACTGAAGTATAGGAAAGCTCACCCAAGCCTTGCTGTCCAGGGTTTTTATTGGTGTCAGTCACGTAGACAAAGAGAGACCTTGTGGCTGACCTTACTCGGTCTCTAGCTCTTCCAGAGGTCAAGCTGACACCATGTTGCCCACCAACACCCGGTGTAAACACAGACACTGTCATCAGGCAAGCTATTCCAAAGGTTTATAGAAGTTATCTCCCCAGAGTGCCAAACCTTTCTTTGGAGTGTTCAGGGTTTGGCCATCCAGGCCTGCTTAGTTGATTTTTTTAAAGTTTATTTATTTATTCTGAGAGAGAGAGGGAGAGAGAATGAGCATGACTAGGGAAGGGGCAGAGAGGGAGGGAGAGCAAATCCCAAGCAGGCTCCGTGCTGACAGCTCAGAGCCTGATGAGGGCTAGATCTCATGAGATCCTGACCTAAGCTGAAATCAAGCTTAAGCAACTGAGCCACCCAGGTGCCCCGTGCTGAGTTAATTCTTGATTGTATAGTGATTCATTAGAAAAATAATCTAGATCAATAACCTCTTAAGCTCTGGTTGTCATGTAAGAGGTAAATGCAATTTTCTTGAATGAAAATAATAATAATACCTTATATTTACATAGCTCTTTGTAATTGACAAAACAAAATATCATTTGCTACACCAGTTCTTTGAGACACAAGATTCTCATTTTGCAAATGAAAAAAATTGAGGGAAACTCAAGAAGAGATTAAATGATATACTAAGGAACCAAGCAGGAAGAAGGTTAAAAAGAGGAAGTATTTTATCTGATTGGAAAGGGTGGTAGAACAAGATACCCCATCCCTAATCCTAGTTTTTTATGGTTCCATGTTGTTGTTGTTTTCTTTTCAATTTTTATTTAAATTCTAACTAGTTAACATATATGGTACAGTTGGTTTCAGGTATAGAATTTAGTGATTCATCACTTACATATAACACCTAGTGCTCATCACAAGTGCCCACCTTAATACCCATAACCCATTTAGCCCATCCCTTCACCCACCTTCCCTCCAGCAACCCTCAGTTTGTTCTCTATAGTTAAGAAGCTGTTTTATGGTTTGCTTCTCTCTCCTTTTTTTTGTTTTCTATGTTCATCTGTTTTGTTTCTTAAATTTCACATATGAGTGAAATCATGTGGTATTTGTCTTTCTCTGACTGACTTATATTTTGCTTAGCATAATACCCTGTAGCTCCATTCATGTCATTGCAAATGGCAAGATTTAATTCTTTTTTATGGCTGAATAATATTCCATTTCATATACATATATACACATGTATATGCATATACGCATCTATTTGCATATACAAATATATATATATATATATATATATATATGTATGTATACACACACACACACACAAATATATATACATCACTTCTTCTTTATCCATTCATCAGTCAATGGACATTTGGATTCTTTCCATAGTTTGGCTATTTTGATAATGCTGCTATAAACATGAGGGTACATGTACCCCTTAAAATCTGTATTCTTATATTCTTTGGGTAAATACCTAGTAGTACAATTGCTGGATCCTAGGGTAGCTCTATTTTTAACTTTCTAAGGAACCTCCATACTGTTCTCCAGAGTAGCTGCACCAGTTTGCATTAGCACCAGCAGTGCAGAAGGGTTCCCCTTTGTCCGCATCCTTGCCAACATCTGTTGTTTCCTGTGTTGTTAATTTTAGCCATTTTGACAGGTGTGAGGTGGTGTCTCATCATGGCTTTGATTTGTAATTCCCTGATGTTGAGTGATGTCAAACATCTTTTCGTGTGTCTGGTAGCCATCTGGATGTCTTCCTTGGAAAAAATGTCTATTCATATCTTCTGCCCATTTCTTAACTGGCGTATTTATTTTTGAGGTGTTGAGCTTGATAAATTCTTTATAGATTTTGGGTACTAATCCTTTATCAGATATGTCATTTGTCAATATCTTCTCCCATTCCATAGGCTGCCTTTTAGTTTTGTTGATTGTTTCCTTTGCTGTGCAGAAGCTTTTTTATCTTGATGAAGTACCAAAGTTTGTTTTTGCTTTTGTTTCCCTTGCTTCCAGCGATATATCTAATAAGAAGCTACTAAGGCTGAGGTCAATGAGGTTATTGCCTGTATTCTCTAGGATTTTGATGGTTTCATGTCTCACATTTAGGTGTTTGATCCATTTTGAATTTATTTTTGTGTATGGTAGAGAAAGTGGCCTGGTTTCTTTTGCATGTTGCTGTCCAGTTTTCCCAACGCCATTTACTGAAGAGATTTTTTTCCATTGGATATTCTTTCCTGCTTTGTCAAAGATTAGTTGACCATATAGTTGTGAGTCCATTTCTGGGTTTTCTATTCTGTTCCATTGATCTATGTACCTGTTTTTGTGCCAGTACCATACTGTTTTAATGACTACTGTCTTATGACTTGGTCATATAGCTTGAAGTCTAGAATTGTGCTGCCTCCAGCTTTGCTTTGCTTTTTCAGATTGCTTTGCTATTCAGGGTCTTTTGGGGTTCCCAACAAATTTTAGGATTTTTTTGTTCTAGCTCTGTGAAAACTGCTGGTGCTATTTTGATAGGGATTGCATTAAATGTGTAGATTGCTTTGGGTAGTTACAGGCTTTTCAACAATATTTGTTCTTCCAATCCATGGGCATGGAATGTTTTTCCATTTCTTTGTGTCATTTTCAATTTCGTTTTTTTTTTTTTAATTTTTTTTTTTCCAACGTTTATTTATTTTTGGGACAGAGAGAGACAGAGCATGAACGGGGGAGGGGCAGAGAGAGAGGGAGACACAGAATCGGAAACAGGCTCCAGGCTCCGAGCCATCAGCCCAGAGCCCGACGCGGGGCTCGAACTCACGGACCGCGAGATCGTGACCTGGCTGAAGTCGGACGCTTAACCGACTGCGCCACCCAGGCGCCCCATCACCGTTGTTATTTAACACAGTACTAGAAGTCCTACCCTCAGCAATCAGAGAACAAAAAGAAATAAAAGGCATCCAAATTGGCAAGGAAGTAGTCAAACTTTCACTATTTGGAGATGACATGATATTCTATGTAGAAAACCCAAAAGACTCCACCAAAATATTTCTACGTGAATTCATCAAAGTTGCAGGATATAAAATCAATGTACAGAAATCTGTTGCATTTCTATATGCCAATAATGAAGCAGCAGAAAGAGAAATCAATGAATTGATCCCATTCATAACTGCATCAGAAACCATAAGATACCTAGGAATAAACCTAACCAAAGAGGTAAAAGATCTGTACTTTGTACACTATATAGAATATTTATGAAAGAAATTGAGGGGCGCCTGGGTGGCGCAGTCGGTTAAGCGTCCGACTTCAGCCAGGTCACGATCTCGCGGTCCATGAGTTCGGGCCCCGCGTCAGGCTCTGGGCTGATGGCTCAGAGCCTGGAGCCTGTTTCCGATTCTGTGTCTCCCTCTCTCTCTGCCCCTCCCCCGTTCATGCTCTGTCTCTTTCTGTCCCAAAAATAAATAAAACGTTGAAAAAAAAAAAAAATAACAACGGTGAGGGTGGACATCCCTGTCTTGTTCCTGACCATAGAGGGAAAGCTCTCAGTTTTTCCCCATTGAGGTTGATATTAGCTGTGAGTCTTCCATATATATATTTATTTTCATTACATAATGATTTTGTATTTGGTGATGCCAGCTTCCTTTCCCTGGCATTTACTTCTCTGAAATATTCTTCCAAAATGTTAGTGGCTAGTCTTACTAGTTTTGCCAAAAAAAGATTTAAATAATTTTATTGTTTCCCTCATTCTACACACACATAAACAGCATCTATCTATATTGTATAATTATAGGAGGGCCTTGATAGTCTTTTATTTTTTTTTTTATTTTTAGAGAGACAGAGCATGAACAGGGGAGAGGCAGAGAGAGAGAGAGAGAGAGAGAGAGAGAGCAGGCCCCAGGCTGCAAGCTGTCAGCACAGAGCCCAACGCGGGGCTCAAACTCACAACCGTGAGATCATGACCTGAGCCGAAATCAAGAGTCTGACACTTAACTGACTGAGCCACCCAGGGGCCCCAAGGCCTTGACATGCTTGAAGTGAAGATTCTAGAGGCCCCTCACATGAAGGAAACTCTATGAAAACATAATAAAAATAGAGAGGAAGAACCTAGAGGAGAGTCAAAAGAAGGGACATCTTACACCTTTCTTCCAGAATGGGAAGAATGACAAGATGGGCTCTGTGGATTTTGGGGGTCTAATAAATAGCACTCCTCCTTTACACTTGAATTTGGTCCCACTGAGAGAGGAAAAAATATAGATGTTTGGGGACATAGTTTTAGATCTCTAGCCAAGTGGCTTGCAAATCCTTTACTATTGAGTTAGAGACTTCTCATCTAATCTATGACACAGCTGAAGAAGTGTAGACCTTTCTATTGCACTTCCTGCTGACACATGGCAGAAAATCTTTCCCTAGGGAAGGCCCTTCCTTATTGAAAACATGAAGAATGGAGGTTAAGAGTTCTCTTCAACAGACTAAAGAGAATAGGCTTTAATTAGTGGGGGACAAGGAATAGTTCAAGTTAGTGTGCTGAACTAGATAGGATAGGCAAGGTTTACAGGCTTCAAGTAAATCCTGGTAACTCAAATTAGTCATTAACAATATGTTTTGTATAGCCATTCTGGTTTGTTATAAGAGGAAGATGAAGAAAGGCAGGCTAATGTTTTGGTAATGAGCATGCACTTTGGTGCCAGACTGTCTGGGTTTGAATCCCTGATTTGCTACTTGCTGTGTGACTGTGACATCCTACTTACCCATTCTTTGTCTCATTTCTTAATCTATAAAACAGGGATAATGATGACACCTAATTCATAGGGTTGTTATGAGAGTTAATTGAATACCAAATGGAGCACTTAGAGCAAGGTGTAGCACATAGAAAGCACTATCTAAAATATACAGTTACCACTAATGTTGATATTACTATACGAGAATGTTACGTAAATTGTCGATATACAAAAGTAATGCATTCTGCACCATATCAAAGGCAGCCCAACGATGTTATCAGTTTTGACAAGACCCCCCCAAAGGATAAATGCAATGTTGGCAAAATCATCATTATTTTTTACATTCTGCCTCTCCTATTTCTTAGGAGCTAAGCGTCTCCATTGCTCAAAATTCTATAGCCTGTTGAGGTCTGTAGTCTCAGAACTCCTTTATTCTTACAATGACCAGATTTTCTGTGACAAAAATTTGGACCCGTGCTGAGAATCTCTGAAGTGGTTAGGAACTGGTTTGCTAGTACTTTAGGGTGCAAATGAAGCCTTATTTTCCTTATAAGTGAAATGGGGATATTGCCTTGTATAATACAGCCATAATTGGTGGCTCAAATATGGATTAGAACTCCCAAAGGATTTCCTGTGAAAATTGGAGTCTATGCTCCCATTAGTCACTTCTTTTTTAGTTTTCCCATCCCCCAAATAAAAACTGAAATTCAAAAGTGTAGTGTGCCTATATAGTAGGTTTTCCACGAACGTTGAATGAATTGAAGCTAGCTAGCCTAGCTTTCTGCTCAACTGATTAAAACATTTATGGGGCACCTGGGTGGCTCAGTTGGATGAGCGTTCAACTTTGGTTCAGGTCATGAACTCACGGTTTGTGAGTTTGAGCCCCGCGTTGGGCTCTATGCTGACAGCTTGGAGCCTGGGGCCTGCTTTGGATTCTGTGTCTCCCTCTCTGCCCCTCCCCTACTCACGCTCTGCCTCTCTCTTTCTCAAAAGTAAATAAACATTAAAAATTTAGAGAAAAATTGTTACATGGTCCATATATAGTTTTAAGTAGTGGTAACAAAAGGAACACTCATGAACACTGTGGAGGTTTTTCAATATGTCTACTTGTTTCCCTTTAGTACCTTTGTGGTTATCTCTCAGCCTGAATGTCTCTTCTCCCAGATCTTTCCATGGCTAACTCTTTGTCATTTGGGTCTTAGATTAAATGTCATCAGTGTCTTCCCTAGTGAGTCCTACCAAATATTTCAGTAAGAAATAAGACCGATCTAACACAAACTCTCTGAAAGAGGAAGAGGGAACACTTCCCACCTGCTTTACAAGGCCAACATAACCTTGGTACCGACATTGACAAGGACATTATAAGAAAAGAAATGATAGACCAATATCCCTCATAAACATAAACATAGAATAAAACTAAATAAAATTTTAGCAAATTGAATCCAGCAACATATAAAAAGGATGCAATATTTAAAATAGATCCTCTTAAATGTTTCTCAAAAGATGTAAATTAAAGGTTGGAATTCCTTTATTACTACTTTAGGTATTCAGATAATGCTCCTTTGACTAGGATATCATGTGAAGCCTGGGTCCTAATGGCCCTGGATTCATAAATACGACAAATATTCATCATGTCATTATAATTTGGGTCTTTGTCAAGAATTGAGATATATTTTAATTATGAAAGTAAAAGTAGTTGGTGACACTGTATAAAGTGTATTTTTTTAATGTTTATTTATTTTGAGAGAGAGAGTGCCTGTGTGCATGTGCATGCACGTGAGTGAGGTGGGGTGGAGAGAGAGGAAGAGAGAGAATCCCAAGCAGGCTCTGTGCTGTCAGACATGGGGCTTGATCTCACAAACTGTGAGATCATGACCTGAACCAAAATCAAGAGTCAGATGCTTCACCGACCAAGCCACCCAGGTGCCCCTAAAGTGTATTTTGATTCCAAAGTTTTCATTTTCAGTTTTGGTATTCTCAGTAACAGACATTTTCCTTGTCCTGCAGTTCAAGATATTTTGGAAGCTATATTAATAGACAGTTGTATCTTCCCAAGTACCACAATAGTAAGTAAACAACTTTTATATAATCAGCTGTCTCATGATTGTTATTTAGAAAGTATTAAAAAGCCTTTAGATTTAAATCCAACTAGTTTGCTTATTGCTGAGACCTTCAGAACACATCCTGAACTCTCTCCTACTTCTTTTTTTTTTTTTTTTAAATATTTTAACGTTTATTTATTTTTGAGACAGAGAGAGACAGAACATGAACGGGGGAGGGGCAGAGAGAGAGGGAGACACAGAATCGGAAACAGGCTCCAGGCTCTGAGCCATCAGCCCAGAGCCTGATGCGGGGCTCGAACTCACAGACCGTGAGATCGTGACCTGAGCTGAAGTCGGATGCTTAACCAACTGAGCCACCCAGGCGCCCACTCTCTCCTACTTCTCATACTGATTGTAGTCCTTTCATTGTGATGAACATACCAAATATTGTCTCTTTAAAATGGTTTATTTTTTTATTGTTTTTTTTTCTATTTGCAAGTTCTCTACCAATACAACCAGGCTATGTAAAAATAGTCATATTTCTGTCCTCTCATGAAAACATAGTGGAATGGAAAATATTACTATAGATGTTGTTTGTATACTTTTCTTTATGTGTGTTTCCTCCTGGTAGCCAGATCATTTGAGCAGTCTTATTATTGTGATGCTGTATGATTTTCAAGATAGAAAATTTCAAGCTCGTTTCGTTTCTGATAATGAAGAACCCATAGCAGAAGTTCAAGAAGTAGAGAACCTTCTTAACAGGTAATTGTAAAAGTGCAAAGGATGTTTTCTATGAAATAATTATTAGTATTTTCATTGGTATATGGTATAATGTGTAGATAAGTTTCAGAAATTTATGGAGAAAATATATAAAAGTTCATGTGTCTTGAGTTCCTTTACAAACAGCCTTGAACAGGTTAAACATTCTGTTTAAAATCAAGTTGTTTTTGAAAGCTTGAACTGTAAGATCCAACTTGTAAGTATTTGGAAAATCATGAAAAATTCCTAGTAATGTTTTAGCACATACATAAATTAAACTTCATTTGAAACACTTATTATTTATTTACTTACCTTTGTTTACAGCTCTTTAAATAAAAATCTAACGTGTATCAAATGAGAAAATTCCACTACTTGGGCAAATTAAAAAAAAAAAATCTTCAACATAGTTAAGAAAAACAAACATGTTTTAAATTTAAATTTGTTTTCTTTTTAGCCTAAATATTGGCAGAAACCTACCATGGGGATAATAATAGTACCTACCTAAAAAGGTCGTTCGGAAAATTAATTAAACAAATGCATGCAAAATGCTTAGCTTAGAGCCACACACATGGTAGATGGTCAATAAATGTTAAGTGCTACTTTGGTTAGGGCTTTTGTTATCGTGTTGTTGAACCTTAATGGAAAGCAGAATATAGCAACAACAACAATCTTGTAGGAAAATTTTTACCTAGTAAATAATCTGAAACAGTTATCAGTAGGATATCTGATTTTATATTGTTATGGGAAATCCAAGCAGTTTCATTTAAATTACTGAAGGCTGAGACCAGAGGATTAAGAACGGTGTAATAATAATAGCTTACATTTACTGAGCACTTAATATGTGTCAATCACTGTTGTAAGGAGCTCTTGTTAATAACAACATCCGAGGAGGATACTGTTAGCAACCTGTATTTTGACACATGGAAAAACTGAGGCATAGACAGGTTACAGGAACCTACCTATTGCTATAGATCGGAGAAGGGAGTAGCCAGATTCAAATTCAGGAAGGTGGATTCCAGAGTCCAAGTGTTAACCATTTATATGCTACTACGCCTTCCACTTAGGATAGTGAGGTTTGGTTGATGTACTCTGGAAGATTAAAGATAAGACACAGTCATATCTCATGTCAGATGTAGCCATAAGAAATTTTAAGACGGCAAACAGCAAGAGCATTCAGAGGTACATGCCCTCTGTGTTAGATAAGTAAGATCTCACCCCTGTTTACTGTGTGGGTTTTTGGGTAACCACCTCACTGCCCATCCCACTAGTGGGTAACCTGCCTCCAACCACAGGTGTCCAAGATGGGTACAAGTACATCAGAGAAAAATTGGTGGGGCAATATGCCATGGGACAGGCTCAAAGTTTCAGGTTTGCTGAGCTTCTCTCAGTTTCTGTTTGACTTAGCAGGACTCGGGAGACATTGATGGAAGCCCCATCTTAGTCTCGGTGAACCTAATGAGAGCTGAGTTTAGCCTGGGTCAGCCAGGAAAGCCATAGGGCTCTCACCAAGTAAGAAAGACCAGACTATGCTTTCAGAAGCTGCAGACTTTTAGCTGAATGCTAGCAAGACAGGTATGAATAGGACAAGCAAAGACCGTGGTTCAGGAGGCCAGAGGAACCAGAAGATCCTACTGTCTAAGGATTCCTGATTCCCCAGACTTTTCCCTTTCCCCGTCATACCATGCTACTCCTGCCTTGACACATACCGGTTACATTCTTGTCAGTGCAATAGTGTTTCCCCTTACACAAACCGATAAAGGCTTATATAATGCAAATCTTACTCACAAATTGATCGGTTTACCAAATTAACCAATTCATAGTATATTTAATTCATAATATGCTATAGGAGAAATACATGTATAGTGATTGAATTGCAGAGAATAGTAGAGCAGTATACATGTATAAAGATACCACCAGAGTGTTTTAATCAAGAGTCTCAGCTTTCAAGTAACAGAAGCCATCTTCAGTTAGTTTGAGCAAAAATGATAAAGATACTAGGATGTATCATATAAGTCAAAGACTCAGAAAGAGAATGAAATCAGGAATTGGAAAGATTAGGACTTCTTTATCTCTGCTTTTTAATCTTTTTATTATTGTTACTTTTTAATTTACATCCAAGTTAGTTAGCATATAGTGCAACAATGATTTCAGGAGTAGATTCCTTGATGTCCCTTACCCCTTTAGCCCATCCCCCCTTCCACAACCCCTCCAGTAACCCTCTGTTTGTTCTCCATATTTAAGAGTCTCTTATGTTTTGTCTCCCTCCCTGTTTTTATATTATTTTTGTCTTCCTTCCTTTATGTTCATCTGTTTTGTTTCTTAAATTCCACATATGAGTGAAGTCACATGATATTTGTCTTTCTCTAATTTCGCTTAGCATAATACCCTCTAGTTCCATCCAGGTAGTTGCAAATGGAAAGATTTCATTCTTTTTGATTGCCGAGTAATACTCCATTGTGTGTGTGTGTGTGTGTGTGTGTGTGTGTGTGTGTGTGTGTGTATACAATATATATATACCACGTCTTCTTTATCCATTCATCCATCGATGGACATTTGGACTCTGTCCATACTTTGGCTATTGTTGATAGTGATGCTATAAACATGGGGGTGCATGTGTCCCTTTGAAACAGCATACTTGTATCCCTTGGATAAATACCTAATAGTGCAATTGCTGGGTCGTCGGGTAGTTCTGTTTTTAGTTTTTTGAGGAACCTCCATACTGTTTTCCAGAGTGGCTGCACCAGTTTGTATTCCCACCAGCAGTGCAAAAGAGATCCTCTTTCTCCACATCCTCGCCAACATTTGTCCTTGCCTAAGTTGTTAATGTTAGCCATTCTGACAGGGTGAGGTGGTGTCTCCTTGTGGTTTTGATTTGTATTTCCCTGATGATGAGTGATGTTGAGCATTTTTTCATGTGTCGGTTGGCCATCTGGATGTCTTCATTGGAGAAATGTCTATTCATGTCTTTTGCTTATTTCTTCACTGGATTATTTGTTTTTTTGGGTGTAGAGTTTGATAAGTTCTTTATAGATTTTGGATACTAACCCTTTATCTGATACGTTATTTGCAAATATCTTCTCCCATTCTGTCGGTTGCCTTTTAGTTTTGCTGATTGTTTCCTTCTGTGTGCAGAAGTTTTTTTATCTTGATGAGGTTCCAATAGTTCATTTTTGCTTTTGTTTCCCTTGCCTCTGGAGACATGTTGAGTAAGAAGTTGCTGCGGCCAAGGTCAAAGAGGTTTTTGCCTGCTTTCTCCTTGAGGATTTTGATGGTTTCCTGTCTTACCTTTAGGTCTTTCATCCATTTTGAGTTTATTTTTGTGTATGGTGTAAGAAAGTGGTCCAGGTTCATTTTTCTGCGTGTTGCTGTCCAGTTTTCCTAGCACCACTTGCTGAAGAGACTGTCTTTATTCCATTGGATATTCTTTCCTGCTTTGTCAAAGACTGGTTGGCCATACATTTGTGGGTCCATTTCTGGGTTTCTATTCTGTTCCGTTGATCTGAGTGTCTGTTTTTGTGCCAGTAGCAGACTGTCTTGATGAGTACAGCTTTGTAATACAGCTTGAAGTCCTTTTAATCTTTTTATCTCTGCTTCTCTCTTTGTATCTGCTTCATTCTCTTTTTCTCTTCCTATCTGCCTCTGTGCTTCTCTAGTCTACATGGAAAAAGCCCTACTCTTGCACCCCAGTTCCTGAGCTTACATGTTACAGCTGTCTTGTAGTATCTTCATGTAGACTAACTTATTTTATCATCTCCATACACCAATTCTAAATTCTAGCTCCCCCAGGAATTTGATTGGCTCCGTGTGGTTCAGGTGCCTTCCTTTGGGCCAATCCCCCGTAGCCAATAGAGTGGGATTCTGAACTCAGACAGGACATTGACCTGTAGCTCAACCTCTGTAGATCTTCTGGGGTTTAGGGCTGGGTGCTGTTTTCCCCAGGGAAGTAGAATCATTGTCAGCTTAAAATGTACCTTACTAAGTTTCTACTGAGGGGATAAAAACTAATTTTAGGAGGTGAGAGAGGAAGTAATTATTTAGCAAGAAACTGAATAAGAATGATTTCTTTCTTATGAAAATTCTGCTTGATCTTTGTTGTTATTGTCTCTACCAGAGATCCTTGTGTTTTATATTCTATGGACCAACTTGTATCTTTTCCTTCATTTATTCATGGCTTTGGAGATATAATCCAAGATGACACGTATTATCATTTTTGACATATGCAAAGTCCTTATGAACTCCTTCCTTGTATAAAATCAATTATGTTTTTAATACTATGTGCACGGGTTAAATAAAAAGACACCACAGCCTCTTCCTTTCTTATTTCCCATGCCCTCACACTAGCCCAAAAATCTTCCTGCCAAATAATTTGTTGGACTTCTGTGAGGCAGAATTGGAGAATGAGCAGTGAAAGACTAGAGAGGCGGCAGCAGGGGAAAGAGTTAGTAGTCTATCCTCCCAAACCACCCAAAACTACTCATCCTGAAATCTTCCACATTACATTCAGGTGCCAACATCTGCCTAGACACATCCTTGATTCTTCTTTCCTCCCCATCCCTGTGCCCATACCATACCTAATGCTGTAACTCCATTTGGAAAACATGCTTCATGATCTACTTCTTTCCTTTTCCACGACTACATTGCAATTTTCCAAGCCACCAGCTTACTACACTAGCTTCTTCGTTGATTTCCCTGCCTATAACTCATTCCTTCCCGCAATCTGTTCTCCATGGCAGGTAGAGTGATATTTTTTTAAATATAAATTATTTGGTCATGAGAGAGTATCTTGGGTTAGACTTACTGTAAACAACTAGAAAACTGGACAAAATATACGAGGCAAAGATTTTGGGCATTGGACGAGAAGCAGCACAGAAACTTGATCCCTGAGAAAATGAGACCAAATGGGGTAAGCATTAGAACAGTCCTGGCTTTATGCCTCAAGGTACTTTCCAACTGAAGTACAGGAAGGGGGATCCCAAGAGGAAAACGGTAGTCTCACTAGGAAA